AAATGCCTTGCTTTCGATGTGCTGCTTCCGCACTTCGTTCAACAACCATCTCGTTACGTCACTTTCGTCCAGTCAAATATCGAATACGTGTTTTCTCTTACAATCTCGGTTTTCGTAGCAATCCAAGCAAAGAAGTGGAAGTGGATTTTAGAAGCGAAGTCAGCCTAATTGTGAGTTCCTAATAAAAAGACCAGCTATTGAATGCGTGCCCAATTCCATACCATTAGTGGCTACTACCCTACTGATTGCACAGCATTCTTGACAAAGTTTAGATTTAAAAAATCACAAGAAGTATGAAAGAAAGCGTTATTACGATGTGTGCCCTTAATTTGTTATCGCACAACTCACGAGCACTGTGCACATAATGCTTTGAATACTACAATCAAAGAGGCGAGGGGGGAACGACGTCAAGAGAAATATGCGATAAGTTCCTGGTAAATCCTGAACTCTTGTATTTGCATATTTTGCCTTGGTTTTTTTCGAAATAAAAGGGCTGTAAAACATAGTCTGTCCTCTGAAAGTGACCTATTGTTGCGCTATGGTCCGCAATAGCGCGAACACACTAGTTGAACGCTGCCTTTGTCACAAATCTACTCGGCTGTCAATGAGAAGAAGCGCGTCATAGGCAGCAACGCGCGCCGCGCTCGCGCTGCTACGTACACGACACCAGCATACCAACCTCACAAAACAGGTTAGAACATTAGTCATTAACTGAATCAACTTAAACTAAGACGTGGTTATGGTCTAGCTACCATTACCATGCTCATAAGGTGCTATGGGCGGCCGCAAGATTACTGCAGCTAATAGACGCTTAGGTTTTTCGCTTTGCATGCGCTGTAAATCACTCCACACTCTTAATATAAGTCATTATTTGAGTTTTTGAACAAAAAAAGACTCAGTTTTACTCATTCTAAGGTACTGACAATTTAGGAGAACGCATCGAATCTGCTAGATTCGTTTAAGATTGGAGAAGTGTGTGGACGTGGCAGATCCTCTACAGTATATGAAGCAACGCACTTGAAAACGCAACGCAGTCTAGTTGTTAAGGTGCTTGTTGAAGGAAGGGAGAGAGCAGATGTCGAAAGGGAGGTGGGCAACTATTGGACGCTTTATTCGAGAACGATCCTTTCTCCGCACTTAGGTTGCGATACTGTCTATGCTGCATCACACAAACATGCCTCGTCTCAAAGGGATCTTCGTATTAGGCAATCAGTACTGCATTGCTATGAAAAGGTTAGATAGCGTGTGTCTCGACATACTACTACTGAACATCTGCTGCCTTCTTCATTGGCAGAATGACTGGTGTTCCCATCTCCGTTTATGTGGATGAATTTGAACACGGTAATGGTGAAGATGGACCTCTTGAGGCTCTCATGCAACGTCTCTCTGCGGACATTCTATCCGCTATTTCCTACCTACATACAAGGAGCATTGTGCATCTGGATATTAAGGCTTGTAAAAACATTTTTGAGACTGCGTTTATTAAACAAAATTTAGCCGGCAAATCTCCTTGTTTCTGATCGAGTATCGTTGATAGATTTCGGCTGCGCTCGTTTCGTCGATGCACCCGATTTAGACTGGGGTGATGGAGATAAAAGGTAACTACCAAAATGGAGATATTCCAAATTAATTCTATTTTTTTAGCTACTCGGCCCCTGAACGCATAGCTGGTAAACGTCCTTCCACAAAATCGGATATCTGGTAAGATTATGCTTCCTTTTCTCATGCTGAACATACGAGAGTTAAGACCTCTTCTTGCTGAAATTAGACGTGTTTGCGAATTTGACAAATTATGATGTGAACATACATTACGTTCCAAGCTACTTTTACGGTATGGCATAACTCTTAGCAGCGGGAGAAATAGGGTCTACGAAATCTGTGCACTTCCCCGAAGTTGACAAAAAATTTCAAGATTAGGCCGCAGTACTACTGTGAATCACGCTGTGGTCATTTTTGATTATGCTAATAGTAAGGCGAATGATACAAACAAGGAAATGAGGTACGTGTACGCTTTAAGCTTTATCAAAAATGTGAGAATTTTTAGTGGAACTAGGCTTTCGAACTGGAAGGACTCTCCTCAGCAACTATGATATAAAAATAGTGATTTCTTGCATGATTGGACTTCTTTTCTAACAAACAGAATTGGATGAAGAACTCGTGTCCAGAATGGATTGCCCTCTCAAGCAGAATTAATCAAAATGTTCTCGGGATCCTAGGGCTCATCACTTTTT